CACCCCCACCATCGGGGCCCAAGCGAATTCCATCTCTGGCCTGACGCGGCCTCCCGCACCGTCCGTTTTCCCCGCAGCCCACCAGTCATTCCCGGATCCCCCTCACCGAAGGAGTGGAGGTTCTGGATAGCGGACATACGACGCGCTTCGCTTCCCCTTTTCCCCGGGTCGGAAGCAACAACAGCAACGGCGACAGCAAAAGGCGGGGCGCGGCAATAACAACAGCAGCGACGACGGCTCCTCAGCCTCTCCGAAACGCCTAAAAAAGGAAAAGGCAGCAGGAAGGGCGGGTTTAAAACGTCCGACGGGTTATATACCAGCGAGGGGTTTATGACGTCAATGCGCCTCGGTAGGCGGGCGCAAGGATTGGCTAGGAAGAGGAAAACTTGGAGGGGGGGATGGGAGAGGTTGGGCAAGGTTGGGCTTGTGGGCGTAGCTCAGTCAAGCTCAGCTCCTCCCTTCTCCAGCTTCCGCATTTTATGATGCAGGCGGTAGCGCAAACTGGACAAAACTGGCTCTCCTTGTGACGCCGCGGATGTTGGCGGGGATTGGCTGAAAAGCGCGGAAGGCGGGGAAACGGCCGTACGTTGCAGCGGTCGCGGGGAGTCTGCACCATTTTCAAGAGACGGGAGGGGCAATTCAAATATTTCCACAAAGGAAAGCTGACAGTCGGCGCATGCGTGATGGGTCGATTTTTTTTTTTTAATGCCGCCCTTCCAAGGGTATTTTCTATAGGGATTAATTATGTTAATGTTTTATTTCTAAAATGAAAAGTACTGGGATCTTGACATTCCACCCCATCAAATTTAAATACATAATAATTTAATCAAAGACAATGTATTTCCACAGATAACAAGATCTTTGGTCCATTTTGGGGGAAAATACTTAAACAAAATCTATGAAGTAAAATCTGTTTTGTTAAACCAACAATATAATTTCGGTGTCTGAATCCAGCCTGCTTTGAAACTCAGAACTGAAAATTGTAGCAATAATTCCCAGCTTATAAATGAAAAAGTCAGATATAGCAGTAAATTATCTCTCGAATTGTTATAATTGAGTTTTCAAAATATATTAAAAGTGTTCCCATGCTGCCTCTTGCAAACAAAACTGAAGAGTACAGTGGAACCTCAGGTCACAAATGCTTCTGTTCCCGACCAAATCAGGTTCCAACCAAAAAATCTACCCAATTTTTGAATTGGGTCACGATTCAAAAATCTGGTGGCAAACAAACCCAGCTGTGGTAGATTCCCTTTCTGTACAGATTTCCCCTTCCACGCAGTCCGCAAATTTTTTTGCATGTGCATGTGCAGTCGGTCATGCCAAATCGGGTTGCAACCATAGTCCTAGAATGGATTACAGTCGCAACCCGAGGTTCCACTGTAGTTTAAATTCCCCTTTTCTGTTATTGTTTATGGAAGATTTTAGTGTAACCTTTAACTTTGGTGAATTATATTGATCACACTTATAATATTGGCTGCTTCAGAGAATCCTGAACAGAAACATCTTTTGCACTTGGATGATCTCTGTCGATTTTGAAGTAGGGATGTAGAGCATCCTTCCTTGGTCTCTTTGACCTCTCATAGTAGCTTTTGATACCATTGACCGTGATATCAGTTTGGGGCTGTGTGGCACAGTGTTGTGCTGGTTGCCTCCTTTCTTCAAGGTTGGTCCCAATTGATGTTGCTACAGGGTCAAAGAGGCAATCCACAGCCTCCTTTGTGCTGTGCTGCAGAGCTCAGTACTCTCTCCATTCCTTAATGTTTACATCAGGGGTGTCAAACTTGGTGGCGTCCCATGACATATCAGGACTTTCCCTCCTTTACTAAACTGGGCAGGGGCGGGGCTGGCACACGACGCATCTGGCCCTCAGGCTGTGAGTTTGACACCCCTGGTTTACATGAAACTGCTGGATGAGTTCATTTGCTACCGTGGGATGAGGTAGCATGTGTATGGTGATGATATTCAAGTTTACATCTCCGTCTTGGGTGATCCGAGAGATGCTGTTGCTGCCATTGCTGGGGACTATGAGAGTGGGCGAGCAGACTTTGGCTGAACCCTGGTAAGAGTGTTGAGTTTCTGGTTCTGGGACTATCATCTTTAGATCTAAAGGGAATGGCATGACTCCAGACGGTCCCAATGTAGTCATTCTCTTGGATGTGTGACTCTTGCTTATGGGCAGGTGGCAGTTGTGGCTAGCCGAGCCTTTGTACAACTTCTTGTTGTGTGCCTGTTCCCTTTCTGGGATTCAAAGTCACTGGGCTCAGTCATTGAAGTCCTGGTTATTTCACATTTTGACTACTGCAACACATTCTACGTATTGCTAACCCTTGAAGAGTATATGAAAGCTTCAGCTGGTGCAGTTCTTGGAACCCCTAGTGTGGCCCATGTGACATCACTGTTCCTGAGCTGCATTGCCGACCAGTTTGCTTCTGGGTCCAATTCAACATATGGGTTATCTCCTTTGGAGTCCTCTGTGGCATAAGTTTAGCCTGTCTTAGAAACTGGCTCAACCTGGAGAGATTAGTCCACCCCCCTTGCACCAGCAGAAGGGTCATACTGCATATCCCATCAGCCAAGGAATTTTGGCTGGGGGATACAGAAGAATAGCCTTTTCTGCTGTGGCTCTTGTCATGGCCCTATCAGAGCCTGGGTCTGAGAAGGAGAAGATGGAGCTGGGGCTGATGGAGGAGGTGGGTGCATCCCTTATGGCCCATGACGAATGACTTGGGGACATGGATGAGGCAGTCCCAGGTTCCTCAGGCCTCGGAACAGTAGGCAGGGAGGAAGGGGGGAGCAGATGGAGGAGGTAGGCAATGGAGCAGAGGAGCGGTGGCACTCTGGAAATGAGCAAATGCTTTCCTCACCCGATTCCTGAGTTTGGAGAATGGAGAGGAGTCAGAGTCAGTGCAGGGTGACCTGACTACGCAGGACAAAAGAGCGAGGAGAGGAGCAGTGGTATTCAAGCCAGTAGCTGGGACCACCCAGCCCCCCAAGGCATGGGAGGGATGCCAAGGCAGTCCACAGGTTTGATGGGAGCCTAGCGGCAGAGGTTGCCGGAGAGTGATGGAAAAGCTCAATGGTGGCTGCTGGCACTGGGGCTCTGCTAGTAACTCCGAGCTTTTCGCGCTCACATCTAACAGGATGGAGGAAGGGGAAGTTAATGGATGCTGATGAGGTGGAGTGAAGTTATTCAGCCATCCTGGGGAGCCAGACTATGGAGCTGTTGTGGGAGTGTTTGGGTGAGGCAAGCTTCCGGGATGCTGGCTTTTGGCTTCGGGAGCCTGGAGTGAGGCAGCTACCTGTTTGGCCGGTGAAGCCACTACTTGACCAGATACTGGTTATCCCACCTATGCGGTTCTCCCTAGCTAGCTCGAGGCTCCACCTGGATGTCAGCTATAGCAGTTCCCAGGAGCCCTAGCTGGTGAGGGGAATGGTAATGGGACTTGCATCAGCAGAACCAGGACTGTGGAAGGGACAGATTATCAAGGAGATGGCAAGGTTGGCAGATAGTCACTCCCAGCAGATGAGACAACGGCCAGCTAGTCTCCACCTGGCAGGTAGTAAGCATCTCTCCCTGGAGGGCCTGAACATCATCCGGCCAGTTTGGGCCCTTCAGGTCAAGGTGGCCAATAGGCTATTGGCAGCTGTAGCCACGACTCCTGGAGCTCCTGCACTTGAGGGCCACCTTTGATGGTGATCCTGCCAGATGGGCTCTGTTCTTGAATTGAGTAATTAGCCACCTGAACCATTATCCCCATCTATAACCCAGCCAGTGGGCCATGGCGGAAGTGGTGATGGCTGCACAGGAGGGGGAAGCTGTGGATTGGGTAGCAGATCTTTATAACAAGAACGCTCAGCGTTGGGGGATGCTGGCCTGCTATTAGAAGCCTTGCAATACTGCTTTGAGGATGTGACCCAGGCTGAGGGAGAGATTAAAGAGAGGACCTGACCGGCGCCAGACTATGTCCAGGAATTCTGCCAGCTTGCCAGCAAGTTACGACAATGGCCGGAGTAGCTGCTGGGCTATCAGTTCAAGGTGGATCTTGATCGGAGTTTGTGCCAGGCTTGTGCATACTGGGGTCTACCTCCTTGGCTGAATGAATGGTACCAGACAGTCATCAAATTAGATACCAAACTGAGGAAGTGCCATTCCAATGGGGACTTGGGGTCTAGGCTAGAGGTTCCCTGAGAGGTTCTCTGATAGGCAACTGACCATCAACCAGCCAGGACTGCCTGTGGTCTCCAGTCCCCCAGAGAGACATACTCACTTGCCTATTCAGTGCTTTAGGTGTGGTCAACCAGGCCACCAAGTAGCTGAGTTTCCGGCTCCTACACTGAGGGAGAAAATTGGATTCCCTGGCCCAGGGAAGCCAGGAAGACGCCCAAGAAATCCAGGGCAGTGCACCAAGCAATAGAGGCCCTGCAGCTGGACGAGGGAAAGGCGCCAGGTGAGGGGGAACACCCACTGCTTTCATATGATAGCCTGGATAAGGGGGAACAAGACCTGATGGTTAGTGCCCCCATCTGTCCTTTCATGATCCCAGTGACTATCATGGCCCCTAAATCAGAGGCCTGTGAGATGTTTGAAACATTGATAGAGTCTGGGTGCACCCGGTGCCTGATTAACCTGTCAACTGCCACCAAGTTGCGGGTTAGGATAAGGAAGTTGGTCAAGCTGCTGCGGTTTGAGCAGGTGGATGGTTCCCTGTTTTTGGGGTGGTGGTGTCCAGCCATCCATATCATGGAGCTGGTGAGATTAGAGATGGCCCTGCACTGGGAAATGATCCACTTTGTCCCTGTGCCTAGAATGACCAAAGCAGTGGTCATAGGCTTGGCATGGTTGGATAAGTGGGGCCTAACTATATGGTGAGAGGGAGGGTACAGGAGACTGAAGATAGGCCTAACCCTAACCGTAACCCTGTCAGCACCCCAGGACCGCCATTCAGATGGCAGTCTCTTGCGTGCTTACCAAAAGCATATATTGAAATGTTTACAGAACTTAATTAGATAAAAGTTTGGAGAAAACTAAACCAAGAAAAAAAAATACTTTTTATTCCAACCCACACAAATCATAGTCATGCACTGATATGGCCTGGATGGGAGGAGAAATAGGAAAGGAAGTGGAAGATATTGAAATTTTACCAAATTGCTGGGTTGACCATAACCCACTTAAAATAAGTTGGAGAGGTAGAAAGAAAACAAGATGTAAGTGGACTCTAAAGACACAAATATTAAAAGAGACTGAATTTGTTCAGAAATTGAGAGAAGAACTAACATATTTCTTTAAAGAAAATAATGGACAACACA